TGAGAGATTCTTAAACTTCACTCATGTCATCTCCCGAGCAGGTATTACTATAAGTAAACTTCTAGTTTACTGGGTCCAACAAGCTGGAAATAATTGCCCTTGTTTGGTTGGCTGTTAGTAACTAATACTATATATTGCGTAAGTACAGTAGGGTCATTGGAAATCTAAATTTTGAATCATTCAGATTGTGATGACATGGATGGAGCATTAACCTGAGAATTTTTGCATTAAATAAACTCCGGGATTGCAATCATTTATATTGCTGTCACACGAACTAACGGTTAGACTGGTGTAGTTGAACACTACCAGCCTTAATTGCTGACTTCATGTCCAACGCATCAATAATCCACTGGCTTGGTCTCCTTTTCTCTTTGGTTTCTGTAACTTTTATGTTGCATGAATCTAAGCCACATGAAAAATATCCCGACACAAAGATAAAATCTGCACAGCCAATGGTGATAAATCAAGGAACCTCAAACAACAGTATCTTTTCTCTTCTTCAGTCTTGACCAGTGGATGGGTTTTTGTTTCTGAAATTTTACAAGCTCCTCCTCCTCTTACAGTGAAATTGAACTTTGCCCGTAAGAATTTTTCACCATCAATCACTGAACGTGCCCCTGCCCCAGCTCCCATGTATATCTTACAGGTAGGGGTGAGAATGGCCAACATAAGTATATTGTACTACTTAAGTAACTTTAATTGTCTAAAAAATTGTTTTTTTTTTTTTTGTCAAACCGAAAATGTTAGGTATATTAACTCAAAATGACAGGATTATTTACACAAATAGTGGCAGTGAATAAAAACTGCTACTCCTACTTTACACGGCCTCTTCTCAATTATAACTACACAAATCATTTAGGGGAAAGGGAACATGCTGTTGACTTATAGTAAATACAAGAAAGGTACACTTCATTGCTGCGCCAAAAGGACTTAATGCTCCTTACATTTAGGAGCAGAAATTTCTAAGCCTTGTGTATATGCTTGCTGCTTAGTCAACCACATTACTGCTAAAGAGCTTGAACTTGTTGCATCAAGAACCAATTTCCTAACAGAAGAAATGAGCCCATGATTCCCACACCTGTGAAAGTAATGATGAATGAACAGATTGATCCAGTAGGTGAGGGACGACCTTGAAGGCTTATAGGTCATGTTGTAGAGAAGCATAGGGAGGATGAAATCTAGAGGGATGAAGCCGATAGCGCCTACGACAGCACTGATGTCACCAAAGAAAGGAAGCATTGCTGCCATAAACCCACAGAATATCACATACAGTGACCGAAGAATTAGCCTAGGGATAAGGTTCCTTTTGGAAAACATCCCTTGTTTAACGTCAGCTGATTGCTTTTCCATGATCTCATAAGCAACTTGAGAATAAACCTGTTTTATGTTGGAGAAAGAATATTACCTCAATGCAAATGAAATGAGATTTTGAAATTAAAAAAAAAAAAAAAAAAGACAGAATCGACAGAATTCATTTTCTCTCCGATTTGAGTGAAAGAGAGCGTACGGATGGCTTACCAAGCCAATAGCTAAGAGTTGCAAGAGAACAAATACAACTGCAAGGCCAAGAACTATGGTTGGAGCCAAGGAAGGTCCTTCATCTGGCATCAGACTCTTCAGAATGTTTGAATTAGATTTGTTGCCGAACACCCAGTATCCAGAGATTGCAGCAGAATAGAAAGTAAAGAAGGCTACAGTGTAACACATCAGCAGTCCTTTTACAATCTTTCCTGTAGCAGGTGGAGCCAGAGTTGCCTGTAGGAATGAGAATATTCAGATGAAAAAGGCAGGAAGGTTTGATGCATCTCAGTAAACAGTCTCAGAATCTTCCACCTTACAAAAGGTTCAAAACTACAAATCAAAAGATACTGTATGAATTCATATAAGAGCTGAACATTACTTGTATTTCAGGAAGTATCCCGTTCCCAAAAATTGCAGCTATTATAGAGATAGAATTGAAGGCACTAAACGCCCTTGCTGAACTTGAAGATTCCAAGGAATAGTCCCTAGGAGGGGCATTTTTGGATAGACCTGCAGTAAAAATTAAGATTATTCAAATCTGGGAATGAAGCTACTGTGATGTGTCTCTATTGATAATAAATGAAAAGAATTCTGCTACAAAGAATGGTGGCAATTATTAAAATCTTTAACACAAAGGACAGCAATTTAACAATAACAGAATTGAGTAAATTTAATTTTGAAAACTTCAGAAGTAACTAAATCATTTAGATATCTAGTTGCTTTGAAGTTAGATCGGCATTTGAGTTGGTTAGACATTAAAAGTTAGTTGGTCTTCTGTTTCCATTTAAAATCTTATAAGTCGAAGCTCAAGTGATTCCTTCAGAAAGTAGCAACTTGTTATCAAAAGTCTAATAATTGCTTGGGTTGATATTAAAGTGTATTAAACAAAATTATGGAGACACCTTCAGCACAGCATTGAATCACTCACATGCTTGTCAGTACGAAATCTGAACCATTCAACCTAAGTTGGTTTCCTACTTTAAAGAAGAAAAAGAGGAGGTGGGCTGGAACAAGTATTGAATGATACAAAAAATAACGGATCATCAGGCAAAATAAGAAAGTTCTCCACCATATTACCTTCTTTATGTCTGATTTTTTTCTTTAAGGCAGGCATAAGAATTGTATGGATGCATTCAATCTTCTAGTTAATACAAGGTTAACAGCCTATAAACCAAGATTTCAAAGCAGGTCAATGATTTCTATACCTGCATGAATACAGGCACCAACCACAAGGAAACTGTACCCCAAGCTGAGAAGAAGAGAAGCAAAATTGATATGTCTGAGGGAATGGAAGGATGGAAGCTGAGAGAGAACTATCATCACCACTGTTACCATTGCTATAAACTCATACAGCTTCAAGGATCCATTGGGAGAAAGGTTCTCATACATGATCTTTCCACAACCAAAGGCAAAATTGAAAGAGATAAAGAAGAGTAATTAGTACTGAAATTAAACTATAGATTTTCTTTTGAATCCAGTTTTATAGTATTCAATTATTCATTAGTAAATCAGCAAAACACCTTCCTTCTGGTCAGCCCTATGTTAAACCAACGCTAATACAGAAGAGTTCTAGATAAAATTTGACCAAATCTTTTACTTCAAATATTCTTCTGATTCTCCCCTCCAAAGTTAGTGAGCTTTAGATGGTGCCTCTTGATGGAGACTGATTTATTGCATACAAGACCCATCTTCAAACAAGAGTTAGCCACAGTAGACCATACTAGAAGATGGAAATAAATGGCCAAAAAACTGGTCGGGGCAACAAATGTAAGGTATCTTATCTCTATCCTTGGAAAAAACTAAAATAGATAGGTTTCCAAATAGAGCAACACCATGTGTTCAAATGTTTTTGATTGGATAAAACTTGCTTTAGAAGTAATAAGAATGACTATACCTACATCATCTGTTAGACCACAAAACTTCCAAATGGAATTAATAGATGGAGGGCCATACCTTAAGGCATTCCCCTGCAAGCAAAATTGCTCCTATGCCAACCCCTGTATTGATAGCTGTTTGGATGAATATAACAAAATAAAACATCCATCCAGAACCTGCACGAAACACTTGCGTCTGTTTAGCATTTCGGTATTTTTCTTTTGTAGACTAATTCCTGAATCGATAAGCAATAAAAAAATAACTTACACACTATTATTCCATATACTAAATAAATATTGGTATATATTTTCATTGACTTTTTAGTACTCAATAAAACGTACGAAATTCTGGTATCAAACAATAAGAAATTCTACTACTGATTATCAGTATTTCTCCAAGAGGTTCCAGCCTATCAACTAAAGCCATGTATGCATGTTGCGTCGTGTGATGCCGAAATGGCAAAAGTCAACCTACTTTTTTACGCTAGGAATGATGACAGTAATAATAATTTTCCGTAATTAGTTAAATGATCCAACTTTTACGCTTTCCAAAATCCGATGTGGAAAAAATTCTCTAACGGAACCACAAACCAAAATGCAACCGGCCAACACGAAACGGTGATTGCGTGATCGAAAGAGCGAAAAATATTGTTAGTCAATACCTAAAACGTCGGCGGCGAGCTCACGGAAGCGGATGTGTCGGCGGCCAGCTTTTTCGCAGTGCTCAAGCACCCTGGACATGAGATAGTAGGAGTAGAAGGTGACACATCCCAACACCGTTAAACATAAGAAGCCAAGGACCCAACCCAATCCCCTGAACGCGTAGGGTAGCGTTAGAATTGTAGGTCCCACTATCGCCGTCGTCAGATGAAACCCCGCATGCCACCACTTCCCTATGAAAAACACCAAGAGAAAAAAATAATTTGTAGGCTAAAAAGCTCAGGTGATCATGGTTTCGAGTTGTGACGTTTATAATTTAGCTCTGGTAATTCACCTTTTGATTCAAGAACGAAGGTTGCTCCAGCGTCGGATTCCAGGTGGGACTCTGAGAAACGGGTTCCGTTGCGGAGGTGTCGCCATATTTTCAGGTGCCAAAGTCAGCTAAAGATAGAAGGAGGAGAAGGGTTAATTTTGTTCTTGGAGGAGTCGAAAGTAACGTACGCCAGCAGCCAGGGGAGCAGGACTGATGGGCAGCTCAGCCGCCCGAGAACGTAAAAGTATGGGACGAGTATTTTTTCGTCTTGATATAAAAAGAACACCGGGGTCCCGGGTTCTTTTTGTCAGCTCCTCTATTGCAATTGAAATTACCTGACTGCCTAATGCAGTGATTAAGGGTGAAAATGGGCAGGGGTTTTTTGGTCCTTTTAAGGTCCTTTTTTGGGTCCTTTTATTATCCTCGGTCCTATCGGAAGTCTTTACGTCTGCGCATAGACCGAAAAGAATGCATGAAACTTTTTATCTATATTACTCTGTTTTCCTCTATCATGACTCCATATTTTTTTATGTATTCTTCAGTTAGGCCAAATACGAAGTTTACTGGTTTTCTGTGAAAGGATCTTAAATTGAAAACAATGGACAGCATTTCGACCAGAGATGAGAGAGAACACTGGATCTTAAATTGCAGTCAAAAAAGTTAACATTGAACAGCTCTTAAAAGCCTACTAAAATGACGATGATGTTCAACAAACACTTGAACATCAACAAAACATCAGAGCTTTCACTGTTGCAGCTTGTTCTCCTCCGCAGCAGCTGCTGTAGATTTGTATTCTTCCAATTCTTTCTTGTATGCTTCCATGGCTTCAGCTGCTTTGGCATTCCAACTATTCTTCTCTTCCTCACTAAGTTCCTATAACCCAAAAAATTAAAACAAAAAAACAAACCCAAGAGTGAACCATAGTTAAGGTTAAAAAACCAAAAATGGTGTTTAAGATAATACCATACTTTCCATTTCACTGAAATCAGGGCATTAATTGTAGAATTGTTGATTCCTTGTCGCTCTTGGATCAGAGTTTTTCTTGTTTCTTTACTGAACAGAAGGAATGAAGAAGCAGGCTTCTTGGGCTTGTTAGGGTCAGAGTTCTGCTGCTGCTTCTTCTTCTTCTGGCGCTTCTCCTTGGTCTTCTTAATAATATTCTCTGTCTTCTCTTTCTTCTTAAGCAATTGAAGAGCTTCTTGTTTTTGAAGTTTCATCATCTCCTCCTCTTCCTTCCTAAGATTCAAGGCTTCTTCCTTCTTTTTCTGCTTGTAAACCTCCATTTCCTGCATGTATTTTTCCTTGTTCTTCTTAGCCATCTGCAATTCACGAAAACAAATGAGAGCTCTAACCAAGGAAGTAAAAATGT